GTCGGCCAGTTAAGTCTTATTTATCGAGTTTCAGAATGCCTAAGAGGGATGATGCAGTTAATCCAGTGATAGATAGTACGCTCAGCATGAGAAAAAATGTTTTCGATTATGCTACCACAGGAATTGTTGTAAATCAGATAATGTGTCTCTGCTAATAAGAAAACAAGTTGAACGACATTTCCAATGGGACTGATCTATCCAATTACGCAAAATCATTTAATTAGGTCCGTTATAGAAAATTCCCTCGCATAGATAACATAGATTCGGTTGTCTCTTCTGTCTACTCAAACTTTGCTGTTGAAGTAAGTAAAAAAAATATTGAAACCATATGAAGTAGTCTTCTCTTTTGAGCAATTCTCTCATATTGTCCAATTTTCCTTTTTTAAATGAGGAATTGATGTCATTAAAGGAAATACAGAAGTCGACCAATAACGCCGTAAACATCTAACACATTTAGCTGACTTCCAGACGAAACAGGTGTCAAATAGTTCACGTTTCAAAAATGTCATACATTCATGCAGACACAAAACAACTCACTTCCACATAAGCGCTATCAAAAACCCCTTCTACTCTACCTGTGTCAGTTCTTCCTGATTCGGTTGCCATGATGTCATGACTCACTATGCATATGTTGGACGTTGATCGTCCTGAAATACAAATTTGTAGACAAGCACAAAAGCCACAAAACATCTTTGGGCCACTTACAAACACGCAATATGAACAAACAGAACCACAGATACGTAGAGACGGCTATTGGACCCACTATATTCACTTCAAAAAAAAGCAAAAAAAAAGTATTATTCATTTAAAGTATCCAACATCAAGAAACAACTAACAAGTGAACAACATAACAACAAAAATCTAAGCGGACTATATTTTAAAACAAAAAAAAATTTGCTAAAAACAAGTCTAATCACCGGTATCAAACAATATCAACAAACTGCAATGTTCAGGATAACGAATTTGTGATTTTTAAAAGTTACCTAGTAATTACACCTTTGGAGATAAGATGTAAAAAAGAGAAAGACAATAACAAAGAAAAATATTTTCCATATATTTCTTCTTAGAGCAAATAGGTAAATGAAGCCAACGACTGCAGCGAAGTGAACAATTCTGAAGTTGACTAAATTTCCATATTTTGTGTTTCAACAACGGATTTCTTTGCTTGAAGTCGTCCTTGTACACTATATATCTCTTTCATTCTCAGATACTTCCGTCTATCAGCTTCCGTAACAGATGGTCGTACATTCTGGATGGCTTTTTGGAAATGTTCCATACCAACTGCGTCGACTGTAGTGTCGTTGGAGAAAAGTCGAGCCTTCAGCGCGATGATCGAGGCTTCATGTACCAAAGCTGCTAGATCTGCCCCACTAGAAAGAAAAATGTGTTCAGAAGAAGATTGATTGGGAAATGCGAATACTAACGTAAAACCGTCGAGTTCGGGAAGACTAGCTAGTTTGTCAAAATCCACATCATCTTTCAGTTTCGGATGAGTGCCACCCTATAAAAAGTGCTGCAAATTCAACAATTAAAATTGGTCGAATTTTGCTGTGCCTGATGTGCATTGCACACCACGTACAAATCCACATAAAGATCTCATTGATCACTGATGGCAAAAGCTTTTGCTTGCGTTTTTTCTAGATATATAATTCTGATAATAACAGCTAACAATCATTTGGTAATCACAATAACAATCATTAGAGACTAATGCTCTTCCTCGGTAAATGTGGGAAAATACATGATTGGCGTATCTGTGCTATTCAAAGAACGAAGAAATTATGTTG